GGCCCGGTGCCGGGTGGGCTGGGAGGCTGTGCGCCGCTGCGCGGGGGCAGTTCCGGGCGGACGTTGCAGCGCCCTCCCTGGTCTCCCCAGATCCCCCTGGAAGGTGACGTCCATCAATAAGAGCCCTCAGAGGTGAGCTGGGGTGGGGCTACGGCTGAGGGGTGTGGCAGGGGTGGGGGGACCCGGTTCTGACTCGCGCCCTCCCTAGGGACTCGGGGAGGCACCGCCGCGCCTCAGGGGCCCTCCGACTCAGGGGAAACAGCTCAGATTTCGAGATCCAGGAGGACAAAGTGCCCCGAGAGCGAGCCGTGTTGAGTGGCCTGCGCCACTTCACGGAATACCGGATCGACATCCACGCCTGCAACCATGCGGCGCACGCCACAGGCTGCAGCGCCGCCACCTTCGTCTTTGCGCGCACCATGGCCCACAGTAAGGAGCCCGCCCCACCACCGACCCCGAGCACCCTACCCAATTAGTGCTCCATCCAGCGAGTCTGAGCTCCAGCTAACCCCAGGGCCTTGCTTTCCTCGCTCCTCCCAGTCCCCACAATCCTAGAGTTTCCTCAAGCCTCCCAGTTTAGTCCCCTTGGGTTTGCATTTGAAGGCCAGAGTCATTCGCTGCTTAACAACGGGCATATGTTCCGAGAAATGTGTGGCTAGGCGACTCCGTAGTTGTGTGAACATCAAACCTAGATGGTATAGCCTGCTACACACCTAAGCTGTATGGTCTAGCCTATTGCTCGGAGGCTACAAGCCTGTACAGCATGTCACTGCACAAAACAACACGAGGTTAAATCAGGCACAAGAGAAAACAACGCAGCCAAGAAACACAGTAAACGCGTGAGATGCAGCAGCCACAACACCGAGTACTATGCTCACAGCAAGCATTTTTTATAAATAGAAAGAGCACCCTCTAAAATAAGGACAGCCCTGGCCGGGTGGCTCAGTTGGTTGGAATGTCATCCCCTACACCAAAAAGTCTGTGGGTTCGATTCCCAGTCAGAGCACATACCTAGGTGAGGGCATCCGAGTGCTTACAGGAGGCAACCTATCCATGTTTCTCTCTCACGTTGATGTTTCTACCTCTCTTCCTCTCCCTTCCTCTCTCTCTCTCAAATCAATAAAAACATATCCTCAGGTGCGGATTAAAAATAATAATAAAATAACAACAGAAAGTATATGATAGTAAATACATAAACCAGTAACACTGTTTATTATCATCAAGTTCTATGTACTGTACACACTTGTATGTGCTAAACTTTCATACACCGATGCACTGGCTTGTTTACACCAACATCCCCACAAACGTGAGTATTGCTCTGCGCTATGACGTTAGGACAGGTACAAAGTCACTAGGCGGAATTTTCCAGCTCTATTATAATCTTATGGGACCCCCATTGTCTGTCGGTCACTGACAGAAGCATCCTTATGTGGCACATGACTGTACTTGTGACTGGGCTGCCCCTTCCCGCAGGAGAGGCTGATGTCATCCCAGGGAAAGTGGCCTGGGAGGCAGCCAGCAAGAGCAGTGTCCTCCTGCGCTGGCATGAGCCATCAGACCCCAATGGACTCATCCTCAAGTACGAAATCAAGTACCGCCGCTTGGGAGAGGTAGGTACCCCAGAAGACCCCCTAACCCAGCTCCAATTTGTGCCTCCACCCACTTCCCAGCCAGCTGTTCTGTGTTGCCCTCAGGAGGCCACAGTGCTGTGTGTATCCCGCCTGCGATATGCCAAGTTTGGGGGTGTCCATCTGGCCCTGCTGCCCCCTGGAAACTACTCTGCCAGAGTTCGAGCAACCTCGTTGGCTGGCAATGGCTCTTGGACAGAAAGTGTCGCTTTCTACATCCCTGGCTCAGGTATACACAGCCTCTGTCCCAGACCTGTACTCCCAAATGGCTCTACCCAGGTCCCCAGCCACATCTCCAGTGTGGGGACCACAGGCCCCTCCATCCCATCCTTGGCCCACCCTCATCTTCCGTTGTGGAAAGAGAAGTGTCATCTACCCCTGACTTCTCCCTCTTCGATGCCACCCTCTGTTCCTGCCCTCTGACTGACCGCCAGAGGAGGAAGACTCCGGGGGGCTGCATGTCCTTCTCACTGTCACCCCCGTGGGGCTCATGCTGCTCATCATTCTTGCTGCCCTTGGTTTCTTCTACAGCAAGAAGAGGTAAGGAGAGGTCCCGCTGCTTCCCAGCCCCCTTCTCTCCCTGAGCCCTCAGCATAAAGTCAGTGCAATCAGAAGGTAGTAGATGAGATGGCAGGAAGGACTTCCTTCAAAGAAGTAACCCCCCTGAGGCTGGTGTGGGGGAGAAACATCTTTCAGTTAGGGCGATCAGCTCATTCCAGTTTCCCTGGGACTTTCTTGGTTTTAGCAGTGAAAGTCCCACATCCTGGGAAATCCCTCTGTCTGGGTCCCCACATGAATGGAGCTGGCTCCGCCTAGCTGGGGGAGAGGCAGGAGACCGCAGGCTCTATTCTGGGATGCCTGATGTCAGATGTGCCCTGGGGCTGAATAGAAGAGGGAAGTGGGGCCAGGACTTTGATTAGCTGGGTTCTAAGGTCTACTAGCTGAGGAAGCAGGAGCCCCTTTACTCCTGTCCTCCCTGTTTCCAGCCTGTCAGATCCTAGGTCCCAGGACTAAGACCAAGATGAGTTTAGAGAGTGCTCAGGGCTCCCCAAGTGTCACCCTGATCAGGGTGGGGGTATTCAGTAACTTCCCTCCTCCTTGCACTGTCCCTCTTCCTTGTGCTCTGATGTTGCTCCTTCCAGCCTGATCCCCTCACCTCCCATTGCAGAAGCAGCACCCTCTATGCCTCTGTGAATCCGGAGTACTTCAGTGCCTCTGATAGTAGGTCTGGGGGTGGGTGGACAGGTGGTGTGGGAAAGGGAGACAGGAGGGGAGGAGAGGCAAACTTGCAGGAGACCTTTTTGGAGCAGAGAGCCTTGGGACCTGAGCCCTTCAAAGGAGGAGAGACGTGGGTGGAGGAGTGGCAGACAGCAGCATCCTTGCCTTGTGACCCCCACCTCCTCTCAGTGTACATCCCTGACGAATGGGAGGTGCCTCGGGAGCAGATCTCCATAATTCGGGAACTGGGCCAGGGCTCCTTCGGGATGGTATATGAGGGGCTGGCACAAGGACTTGACGCTGAAGAGGAGTCCACACCTGTGGCCCTGAAGACAGTGAATGAGCTGGCCAGCCCACGAGAACGAGTTGAGTTCCTCAAGGAAGCCTCCGTCATGAAGGCATTCAAATGTCACCATGTGGTAAGGGAGGGTCAGTGGCATTGTCAGGGTCATAATTAGGTAAGAGGGATACAGTCAGGGATGAGGTCAGGGCACCATCAAGGTCAAGGTTGGGACTGTAGTTAGGACCCTAATTGAGGTAAAGGTCATGGTTAGGGTTAGAGTCAAACCAGGGTCATGATAGGGTCATGGTGGACTCATGGCTAGGGCTGAGATAAGTCATGGTTGGGGGTCAATATTGAATGTCCAGATCATTATTGGGATTGGGATTGGGATCAAGGTCAGAGTTGGGCCAATCATAAAGGGTAGGATGACAGATATAATCAAGGTCATGGGTTAGGGTCAGGGTTAGTATCTGGGTCAGAGTGTGGTCATAGCAGATCAAGATTTTGGCCAGGTGGATCCAGGGGAGCTGGGTGAACCTGCAACCAGGGTCTTTGTCTATCTCAGGTACGTCTCCTGGGTGTGGTGTCTCAGGGCCAGCCAACTCTGGTCATCATGGAGTTAATGACCCATGGGGACCTCAAGAGCCATCTTCGATCTTTGCGCCCAGAGGCTGAGGTGAGGACTGGGAAGACTCTGAGCCAATGGGCCAGAGAGTTAGAGAAGACTCGGACATAGTTATGGGGGATAATCCTTGGTGAGGAGTCTTGCCTTTAGGTTCCTTCATCACCAGCCCCTTCTCTTGGCTCTAGAATAACCCCGGGCTGCCACGGCCAGCACTGGGAGATATGATCCAGATGGCTGGTGAGATTGCAGATGGCATGGCCTACCTTGCCGCCAACAAGTTTGTGCACCGAGACCTAGCAGCCCGAAACTGCATGGTGTCCCAGGACTTCACCGTCAAGATTGGGGGTATAGAGGAGTTGAGAGGCTCCCTCTAAGCTAAGCATCCAAGGACCCAGGCTTCGCCCACAGCTCTATCCCTGATAGCCTCCCACCCTGAATCTCAGTCTCCGTCAGAGTACAGAGGGGTTCGAATGGGAGAGTCTCTGATGTACTTAGAGCCCTCACATTCCAGGATTCTTGGAGACTCTGGAGGTGGAGAAGGTTTGGATAAGTATTCCTGGGGCAGGAGCTAGCGAAGGCTCTGCTGCCCCACACCCTGTCCCCCTTACTTTCCAGACTTCGGGATGACTCGAGATGTGTATGAGACAGACTATTACCGCAAGGGCGGGAAGGGGCTGCTGCCTGTGCGCTGGATGGCCCCCGAGTCCCTCAAGGATGGAATCTTTACCACCCACTCGGATGTCTGGTGGGGCCTGGCTGGAGCAGAGGGCTCAGGGGGTGTGGAAGTGGGGTCTGGGGAGAGGACTGGGTGCACTCTCTCATGAAGGGTGGTAGGTTCAGTCCCTCCTATGTGTCCTCAGGTCCTTTGGTGTGGTGCTCTGGGAGATCGTGACCCTGGCTGAACAGCCCTACCAGGGTCTATCCAATGAGCAGGTGCTCAAGTTTGTCATGGATGGTGGGGTTCTGGAGGAGCTAGAGAGCTGTCCCCTTCAACTGTGAGTCACCCCAGCCTGCCCCTTCCACATCCCTGCTCTGCCTACCTCTATCGCCTGCCCAGGGATCTGGTCTACCTCCTCTGAGGCTTTTACTTCCACTGATCCCCAGCTTTAAACTCAACTCTAAATCCCCACTATGTTGCCCATTTACTCCCTGTGACCCCCTACTCATACTGACTGACCCTCTCAGTACAAGAGGCAGGGGCTGTAGACCCCTCTGACCCTGCCCTCCCACCCCACCAGGCAGGAGCTGATGAGCCGCTGTTGGCAACAGAACCCCCGCCTGCGACCAACATTTACCCACATCCTGGACAGCATACAGGAGGAGCTGCGGCCTTCCTTTCGCCTCCTTTCCTTCTATTACAGCCCAGAGTGCCGGGGGGCCCGGGCTCCCCTCCTACCCACTGATGCAGAGCCTGACTCCCCACCAACCCCAAGAGGAGCTTCCTCAGACTGCAGCCCTCAAAATGGGGGTCCAGGGCACTGAGGGTCACTCCATTCCCTGGGTGATTGGCCTCCCATGGGCAGAGAGGAAGGGACCTGACCTTTTCAGCTGAGATGTGCAGACTTTTACACCCCCTGACCATGGGGTGGCCAAGGGTGGGGCAGGAAAGATTGGGGTTTGATTAGAGCACTCATTGTAAAATTTTTTCAGGAGTCTGAGTGCTCCCTGAGAAAATAAACAAGGTCCCAGCAGGAGTGGAGATTAGGCCCTCAAAGAGCCCCTACTCAGACTAAGAAGAGAGGGCCTGTCCACCCCAGAGGTATTGTCCGGACAGCCCCACCTTCAGCCCACAGGTCTCTTGTGGACTGCGGGGCCATCAACACGCTTGAAACCAGATAAGCAACCAGAATGGTCCTGGAACCTCCTGTGTCCATGTTTAGGCTGCTGGGAAGCATGACCGTCTTTCTCACCACTGCGTGTCACCTCCTACCCTCTGCCTCAGACACCAGGCAGGGTGGAAGCACCCAGGCCCAGCCTGGCCCTGAAGGCCTGCGCTCACCTCTTCCTCTCCTTTGCCATCCCGGGGATTCCCAAGCTTGGTGCTCCTCCTTCCTGCTCCCCTGAAAAATCCCTTGGAGTGAATCACCCACCTCTCCTGGTCTCACGCCCTCAATCTCCCTCATACCCTTGGATTATTAAGGCTTTAAGAGGCTTGCTTCCTCCCTGCCCTCACTCCTGCCCCCTCCCCTCCCCTCTCTGGGAAGCCACAATAAATGCCAATGTCTGTTTGTACCCTGGTCCCCAGCAGCCCATTTTCTCTTCATCTCTATGGAGTTAACACTAGATGAACTTCCCCCCTCCCTCCTTGGAGACTTGAGGTGGTGACCCTGAAGCAATGATACAGGATGAATGCTGCTGTCAAACACCACCTCCTGGGGGCCTGAGCAGCCAGGGTTGCCATGGCAGTGAAGCAGGACCACCCTGCTTGTATCTGAGCTCAGGCAGCCCGAAGTGGCTGAGCCCAGCAGGGAACCCTGTATCTGGCCTCCCAGGCTCACCAGCCTATCCTGACATCTCATCTTGAAGTTATCTCTTGCTATTTCCATGGGCAGACATGTCCTGGGGTATCTCAGGACAGACACACGAGGTGGGGAGGGGCCTTGAGGACATCACCAGTCCATGCTCAGTGCCACCCGGTGAGGCATCAGAGCAGTCTGTGTGTCTGGCGCCCCTCTCCCAGCAGAGATGCCCTGGAGGCCTGTTGAAGCACAGGGGAGTTCATTTCCCAGCTCTCCTGCCAGTGCCACCCAGGCATTTGAAAGGAAAGGACTGCAGAAGGGGGTGGCGGTGGAAGCAGCTGGTCATGGCTCAGGACTCCTTAGCATCCTGTACCAGTGTTTCCTGCATCCCTCCTCAGGGCTATAGCTCCCGCTGCCACAAGCTGCCACACACCTGGACTCTGAAGAGATTTGCTCACTCCGGCAGCTGTCCCACAAAGCACAGCTCATTAAGGCAGGGCCCGAGGGGAGTGGGCATGAGTCTATGACAATAATTACAACTCATATACACTACCCTGACCGGTCAGTCAGGGTGGGCAGCAGGGACCACCTGTCACGGGACCCAGGCCCCGACCCACCTGTCATTGGTGGCTGAAGCAACAGCGGCCCCTAATGGTTTCTGGCAGAACCACAGCTTAGGGAGAAGGGGGCAAGTTGTCTCCCTTGCGTTGCTGGACTCAGAAGCCTCCAGCAGGGTAGAACGGAGGAGATACTCTGCACAAAAACCCAGGATCTGAGACCCACACGCTCACACGGAGCACACAGCACCCCTGCACTTGCTCAAGCCCTCTCCTCACCACCCACGCCCCCAACCTCCACGGTGCTGGATATTGCATGCTCAGGAAGTGCTGGTCACCTGAATATGAAAGGGTTTAAGGATGGGATTGAGTGTAGAAGGAAAGAGAGCTTCAGAAAAATTCTGCCTGTGCTCCATCTCCAAAGATGAGCAGGTGGTGGCTGGCCAAGAAGAACTTTTTGGAGAAGGAAGTGGGGATGCTAGAAAACAAACTCTATTGCCAACCATATCCTAGAAAAGAAGTAGATTAAACAAGGTAGCAAGAGAGATTGGGGTTAGACTTCAGAAAGGACTTCCCAACTATACAGGGAAGTTGTGTGGATGCTATGTGTAAAGTCTCAGATATACTTATATTTAAAACTCAATTGTTGGAATTTTCATATGAAGTTGATGTGAAAAATTGAGGAATTGCCAATAAATGATAGATTTTTTTTAAAAAAACAACAACACAGAAACAATTGAAAATAACATATCATGCCTATGACCCTGAGAACACCGTTTGTGTAAATTAAAAACTGATATTAATAAAACCAAAGGGGAAAATGTTGGAAAAAAATTTTTCTCGTACTTGTCTTTCATAGGCTCTCAAGTCTGCTTACTTTTCTACTGAAGGACTTCCAGTTCCTTAGGTGCCAAAATTTATGTCTTATTATGAGTCTGAATCTGTCCAACCAGTATGAGGATGTTGGATGAGACGACAGGCGGAAGTTAACCGTGGACCTTCCCCTGGCCTAGTATGGAGAATGCTGTGGAAGCTCCTCCTGGACCAGAACTTGTTTCCCTTTGTCTTCAACCCTGTGTTGAGGGTTAGAACGAGGGAGATGTTAGTACACAGCCATCGCCCCAAGGCAAAGGTCTTGTTCCTTCCTGCTAGGGGCTCCTTGCACAACCCCTCAGGCCAACACTGCCTGCCCCAGGGTGAGAAGGTGAGTTCTGGTTTCCTCCCATCTCTGTGGGGCTGCCAGACAGTGGTCAGGCACCTCCCGACCATCCTTGTCTTTGTCCAGGTGTCAGAGGGTCTTCTCCGAGTTGCCTGCCATGAATAGGAGCCCCTCTGGGTCACTTGTCTAAAGGAGCCACTAGTGAGTGGACACAAGGGTGGCCACTCCCTGGAGAGAATGAGGGAAGTGACATTGGATGTGTACCAAATTGGGAATCCAGCCTGGTAAGGCTAAGATGGAGCCAGAGAAGAGGGTACTAGGTGGGGCCCTGGGCACATGGTCGGGAGGGGGGCCACTTGATGGGGCCTTGGATGTACAGTCAGGAGCTTGAAATCAAGTCCTCAGCTACTCCTGATGCTGACTGAAGCAAAGGCCCTCAAAGGGGCCACATGTCTAAAAGTTTTGATGTCTTGCTGTTGAAAGGAGGCTTGAAGGGCCATGAAACTGGTGTTCAAAGTGGGTGTGGTGAAGGGTGGGGTGAGTACAGGGCCTGGGTATCTAGATTACTCTAACTCAGGGCTATTTGCCTTTCTCCAAGGCCAGGAGACATAGCTGCCTGCCCCGTGTCTTGGCTGAGTAGATATTCCAGCTGCAGCTTAGATATGCCCCTCGTTTGGTTGCTGGGAAGCCAGGACATCTGAAGAGTTTGGCCTGTAGGACCGAACAGCCCAGAAGCTTCTCTTCCCACCTTCATCATTCCCACCACAGAAGACAGAAGAGAAGAGATAGGGGCCTTGATAAGCAAGGGGTGCCGATGGGCAGAAGGGAGGTGCTCCCAGGATAAAGACGTTGATTGAAAGCCCAGAACAAAAAAGGGAGGGCTTATTCAGGGCACAAGATATGCCTCCCTACCTCTCTCCCCACCTTCACCCACCCCGTGGCTGCAGCTCTCAAGCACTACGGTTCCCAAATGTCAGACAGAGAAAGGACAGGAAAGGATGGGGTTGCCAGAGAAGTAGGAAGAGAGAGAAACAGAGGCAGGCGTGGGAGAGACAGAGAGGCAGGGGGCCAGGAGTTTAGATCCTCTGTACACAGGTGGAATGGAAGCTGAGAGGCTACCTCAGGACTTCTTCCCCACCTGCCCTTTTGCTCGCTGTGGGTCTCCCCCCAACACTGGTGAGCAACAGCTTGGAGACATTGGGGGGGCGCACATCCTAAGGGAGCAGAGGATCACTCAGGTTCCCTCCCTCTTAGGTTGTGTCAGGTTGGTCCTTATGCGTGATTGACAGGAAGGGGGGAGTGGGCAGAGGCGCAGAGGGAGAGAGGGAAGGATGAGCCATGCACAGGAAACTAGGGTGGCAGGGGGAAGAAATTCTGAGAACGCGGAGGAGGGTTCTCGAGAAAACGAGATGGGGATCTTTCTCTCCGGGAGGCAGAGAGAGGGGAGAGTGTGGACAAGGGGGCAGAGGTTGACAGCTGGGTCAGGTAGGAAGCAGTGGAGATGGAAGAGAGGGGTCCAACCGGTGTCCATCTCTCCCCAGGGCAGCCAGAGTGGAAATCAACCGCTGGTGAAGCAAGAGGAACGAAGGTGGGACTGTAGAGAGACCTCCAGAGCGTGGGAGGCACGGGTGCGAGGAGGCAGGGGTGGCCTCATTTGGAAGCAGGATTACACAAGGGAGAGACCTGCGTTCGGGAAGGCCGTGGACTGAAATAAGATAATGGACAACAAATGCTTTGTAAGCTGTAGAGCACTATAGAAATTATTGTCATTGTGATCTAATTGTGATAGCCTTAAATAGATGCTGCAGAAGTACATTTAGTACCTTGGAAAGATGGCCACGATGACCTGCAGAATGAAAGGAGCAAGTTACAAATAACGTGAGTGCCACTGTTTGCGTTTACACGGACAAACTCAGAAAAATACCTGGGAGTGTAAACACACATCTGGGAGATGGTATTGTGGATGATTTATGTCTTATTTTTGCTTATCTGTATCTTCTCTTTATGATTTTTTAAAGAACATACATTATTTACAGAGTGAAAAACAAGCAGTTTGCTTTAAAAAGGAGCTTCCTCCCTGCACAGGTGGTGGAGGTGGAGGCCCAGGAGGGGTGAGGTCCAAGCCTGCAGCTGGCTCTGCCATCTCTCTACCTGGTTGGGTACCTCGGAGTCTGACCCACTCCCACTGTCCAAAAACACTTTTCCTCCATGTTCTGGGCTGGGCCAGAGTCAGTTTTTGTGAACTTAGGATTGGCAGCATGTTGCTGTAACCCCACGATGTTTTGTGTCTGGGGAGATAAAAAATCAGGCAGGAGCCCTAGCTGGTTTGGCTCAGTGGTTAGAGCGTCGGCCTACAGACTGAAAGGTTCCGGGTTCGATTCTGACCAAGGGCACATGCCTCAGTTGCAGGCTTGATCCGGGCCCCAGTTGGGGCGCGTGTGGTAGGCAACCAATCGATGTGTCTCTCTCACATTGATGTTTCCCTCTCTCTCCTCCCCCTTCCACTCTTTCTGAAAAGCAATGGAAAAAATATTCTCAGGTGAGGATTAAAAAAAATAAAAATAAACAAATTAGGCAGGAGGTAGAGAAAAGCAGACATTTCTCAGAGATTCCTGGCAACTCTGGCCCCCCCAAAAACAACAGCCCTCTGCTTGTAGTGTCTTTGGGCCATAAAAAGTGAGGGCATCTTTCCCTTCCAACCTTGCAGGATCAGCCTCCACCTACAGTGGTTCTCACGCACCCCTCGTTCCTTAGTACCATGCCCATCGCTTTTTCCATTCCCCCCCATCCTCTGCCCAGCTTTGCCTGCCAGTCTGAGTGTGGACCTTCTCACCCCAGTGGTCTCCCCCACATTCTTCCCCACTGGGCTCTCACCCTCCTCTCTTTCCCAGCCTGGAAATACCCTCCCTGGTCCTGTGAGCCCCTCCTCCAGAGCTGCTCTTCCCCACCTACTTGGAATAGTATCTAATATCAATAATTCCTTATGCTGACAAAGAGCTTTCTATTTCCAAAGTGTGAGTGTGTGTGTATTAAAATCCACTTAAGAGAGAATGCAATCAGTGATCTGAGAGGCAAAACGACTTGCCTAAGATCACATAGCCAGTCCCTGGACATCCAGCCCCTTCCACCACCATCCTGTCTCAAGGGCTGAAAATAAGCTGAATTGTCCCCTCTTGTCCTTCAGTCCCTTCATTAACTCTCTTTTTTCTTTTTTTGGAGGGGGTCTGAAGTCTTTATTCATACTCAGTAATTCATATAAAGGACAAGTCTGTCTTAATTTTCCATATCATAAGAAAATATACCATAGTCACTGTTTTTGATGTGAACTCTCCTAGGAAATTCCTCTTGTGCCCACTCATTTTATAAGAATGTCATCTTGTGCTATTATGTCAATATTCTGCTTTATTTCTATTATATTTTTCATAAACTAAGGGAAAACTTTTTCTTTAAAAAGTTAGATGTTTTCTCTTAATTCCATATCATATTTACAGCTGAGGAAAAACTGTTTTAACTGAAGTGTAAAATGGTTAACAATGGCAAATGATATAGCCCTCTTAAAGTTTATAAAAAATGTATACCAAATAGACATTAATAAATAAAACAAGCACTTGGAAAAGTCCTTTGAAAGCAGACCTAGGGATGTCACCTACATCTTTTGCACAGATTTTGTTAATCTAAATCTTTCACTCAGTGACAGATTTCTCGTCTGAGCATCTTGCATTGCCTCCCCAATCTTTTGCTAAGTTCTTCCCTAATAATCGCAAAACAGGCAGCCTCGATCCATGGTCACACAGCCCCATGTGGCGCAGCAGCATCTCTGTGCTGAGCACTAGGGTCTCGGGGTTGGCCGTGTCCTTGCCGGCGATGTCCAGGCCTTCCCGTGAACCAACTCGAAGATCGCGACCAAGTTGGCTGGCACCAATGCTTCTGCTTGGTGTCACACCAAGACCTCCAATCAGTCCCGCACACAATTATTTCAGGATATCTCCGTACAAATTTGGCATAACAAGAACATCAAATCAGGATGGATCTTGGACCATATTAAAACATACTGTTATCAAGGTACATCTCATTAAATTTGATATCTTTACAGTTTTCTGCAACTTCCCTGCATTTTTGCAGAAAAAGCATCATTCACACGACGTTGGCTTCGTGATTGGCAGGGGGGTGACATTGCTCCAGTGATTGTTCCCGGCCCACTCACAGGCGAACTCCCCGATGGGTCTCCTCTCCTCCTCCGTGACGCGCTTGGTGCTCTGCACAGCTCTGTCCACCGTCACATGCTCGACCCCACTGTACTCTGTGTTCTCTCTAATGGTGACGATATTTACATCGTCCATTGAGACACGAGGTCAGGCATTTGCATAAAGGTCGAAGGTTTTACACAGCAATAAATTCACGGATGGGGGACCAGCTGCTATCGAGGTCATTAAAGGGGGTTTCAGGCCCATCTTGTTATTCTCCATGGACTCCTTGGCTTCGGAAGGGATCATCCACTTTCCTGCTGAATGGCAGTGACATTCAGCTCCTCCCACTGAATGGGCGCTTTGGCGGCATCAAAAATCTTCATAACTGAGGCTGAAATTTCTGGGCCAATACCATCCCCCGGAATTAAAGTTACTGTCTGAACACCACCAGCAAAACCTCCAGTCACCTGTTTTGGGTTGTGGAGTGCCCCTATCAGCGGAGAGACCTTGGACATCTGGGGTCCCCACGATCATGTCTCTCTCCTCTCACCGGGGCCACAGCAAGGCATTAGTGTGCAGTCACTCCTTTCTTTATCTCTAAATTGCATCTTCCCCGTCAGCCTTCCACTTCTAACTGCAAACTCCCTTCTCAGCATCAGGACCACTCCAGAGCAATCCAAACCCTCTGTTTCAATCAGTTATGGCAGCTCATACTGATATCTGGGAACTCAGGGAGAGCGTTCTGGGAGGGAACACCAGCCGACCAGCCACCTCCTACATATTCCTCCTGAACTCTTCCTGTCATCAACCCAGCCCAGACTCCGGCCTCCACAACCCAGCCAGAGGGAAGAGCTGAGGTTTTCCCCTCCCCCCAGCTAGGAGGAGCTTGCAGAAAAGGAGGGAACAAAATACCTGAGCTCCTCCTACATCTCAGACAGGTGCTCTGCTGGGCTCAGCACCCATTCACTGCGGGAATCCTGCAAACCCTTCCACAGAGGTGATCTTCCCCATTTCCCAGGTGAGGCACCTGGAGCTCGAAGAGATCCAGTAACTTACCCGGATGACCTTGGCGTACGGTGGAAGGAGATGAAAAACAAATAAGGGTGAGAAACAGTCACAGCCCCAGAGAGGCTCAGGCTCTCCAAGTGCCATTCATCTGATGAAATGTGGAGACGCACGTGAGATTCCTGGCAGCCCCGTAACCTGGTCTGCATCTGGACAGAGTTGTTGATGGGTCAGCTGTACCTGGGTCTAAGAAAACCCTCCGCTTGCCAGTGCCTCTGCCTGGGCCCAGGCCTCCAGACAAAGAGAGAGTGATTCCATTTTAAAAGTGAAAAATGCTTCTGTTGCAATTATCACAAAGTATCAGAGTGGAAGGCACCGTTTCCAGAAGTGGGCTGTGCAAAGCAGTAACTCCAGCCACGCAGGGCATCGACCCGCAGAGCCCTGGTGTTCATGGGGCTGCACTGAGCGGGCTCCTGTCTCCCGCTGACCAATTACATGGCAGGTTATGGAGAAGATGGCAATCAGGTGTGAGGGGAGGGGGCCGGATGCTTAATACCAAGCAGTGCTAATCCTCACGGTGTCCTACGCTGGGGGATGGAGGGAGAAAGAATCCATTTCCAGGGTCCTCCCTGTCCAAAGCCAGAATCCTGAGGTGGAGGTGACCAGGGTTCTGGAATTCTCTGCTGAATCTGGGCTGGGTAGGCAGACTTCTGGGCTAGAAGGGGCTGTACAACTCCTCCATACCCCTCCTTTCTGCCTTTTTTCTTTGTTTCCATCTTCCCCAACACCTTTCAGGCTGGTTCTGCCCCATCCCAGCCCTGGACCAGCCTCCCTACTTCCCAGAGCAAGCAATTCACAGAGGCAGGAAGCTGTAACTGAACTGGTACAGGCGTGGCTGGCCTGGGAGAGGCAGGCTGCACGTGCAGGAGCCTACAAGGGAGCCCACTGGCCCCAAGGTGATTCTCAGGCTGAGGTTGGCAGACTGGCCCTGTGACTGTGCCCTTTGCTCCAGGCCACTGCATCCCTGTTCCACCTGCTCCAGACACTTCTCCAGACCTCAAAGAGCTGGCCCCTTCTTACCTGGTGAGTGGATTAAAGTGGCTGTTACCTGCTCAGGGGAGGCCTTCCAAAGCAGCATCTACTCTACATCTAACACCCTACATTATCATCTTCATAACTCAGATCACAATCCGAATTGTTTATTTGTTCACAAGTTTCTTTTTCTCTCCCAGACCAGAACGAAGGGCCCAGAGAGCAAGGCTGTGCATGTTGCTGCTATATCCATTGCACTTAGGCTGTTGACACATCATGGGAGAGTTCACCTCTGTTGAATGGGCCAACTGGATGGTCCTCCATTTCTTACTATTACTCTATTGATATAATAAATAAAATAATAATACTGAGTACAACAGCCTTTTCCAAGGTCCATAAGTTTAGTACCTATGTTTTCTTCTATGTAGTTTATTGTTTCAGATCTTATATTTAGATCTTTGATCCACTTTTAATTAATTTTTGTACAAGAGAACAAACTATAATCTAGTTTCATTCTTTTGCATGTGGCTTTCCAATTTTCCCAGCACCATATATCGAAGAGGCTTTCTTTACTCCATTGTGTGTTTTTTGTTCCATTGTTTTTTGTTCCATTGTTGAAAATTATCTGCCCATATACATGTGGTTTTATTTCTGGGCTCTCAATTCTGTTCCATTGATCTGTGTGTCTGCTTTTCTGCCAGTACCATGCTGTTTTCATTATTGTAGCTCTGTAGTGTAATTTGAAGTCAGGTGGTGTGATACCTCTGGTTTGTTCTTTTTTTTTTCAGGGTTGCTTTGGCTATTTGAAGTCTTTTATGGTTCCATACAAATATGATGCTTTTTTTGTTCTATTTCTTTAAAAAATGACATTGGGATTTTGATGGGAATTGTATTAAATCTGTATATTTCTTTGGGTAATATGGCTATTTTAACTATGTTGATTCTTCCAATCCATGAACATGGAATATCTTTCAGNCTTTGGGTAATATGGCTATTTTAACTATGTTGATTCTTCCAATCCATGAATATGGAATATCTTTCAATTTCATTATGTCTTGTTCAATCTCTTTTAATAATGCTTTGTGGCTTTCAATATATAGGTCCTTCACATCCTTTGTTAAGTTTGTTCCTAGGTATTTTATTCTTTTGGTTGCAATTGCAGAAGGAATTGTTTTTTCATTTCTTTTTCTGAAGCTTCATTGTTAGTAAATAGGAAAGCAATGGATTTTTGTACATTAATTTTGTATCCTGCAAATTTACTGTATTTGTTTATTGTTTCTAATAGGGTTTCTAAAAAATATATTTTTATTGATTTCAGAGAGAGGAAGGGAGAGGGAGAGAGATAGAAACATCAATGATGAAAGAGAGTCATTGATCAGGTGTCTCCTGCACGCCCCTGCTGGGGATAGAGCCCACAACCTGGGCATGTGCCCTGGCCAGGAATCGAATCAGGATCTCTTGGATCATAGGTCAAGGCTCAACTGCTGAACCATACCAGCTGGGNTGTGCCCTGGCCAGGAATCGAATCAGGATCTCTTGGATCATAGGTCAAGGCTCAACTGCTGAGCCATACCAGCTGGGCTCTAATGGTTTTTTGGTGGAGTCTTTAGGGTTTTCTATATACAGAATCATGCCCCCTTACTTCATGAGACAAAATCCTTTTTCTCTCTAGGTTCTTCTCAGCAAGAATAGTTGGCCTAAATCATGGTGAAATTAGTAAGAAATCTAGATTATATGCCAACTCCACAACCAACTCCTGACACACTGAAAAACCCTGGCTAAGGCACTTTTCCAAGCTTCAGTTTTCCCTTCTGGAAAAGGGATAATGTTCTGGGTCCCCTTCTCATTTGTGAGGGATCAAATGAGAGAGAAATGGGATTGGTTCTCCAGTGCAGCAGAAGACACAAGCCCACTGCAAGTTTAAGACACGAGCATTGAAGTTATTAACAACTGCTAATAGTGTCACTACTAACAACAGTTGGCCTAGTTGGAGGAAATTCTCCCTCCTTCCCTCCCTCTAGGTTTGTCTGGTTTACCCTAACCCAGCTCTATAATCTGCTGGAGGATTAACCCAGGCCCCCTCCTCCCTACCCTTTGTCTCACAGATTTCATATGACCTCAAAATGTCCTTCCACAAGTCTGACCTACATCCTTCCTGTTGCAGCCCTGCCCACTCCCCTTCTCATGTGTTCTAAGGACATAATCCTGAGTATAAATCTCCAGGGAGTACAAAGCTTGAGTACCTTATAGAGCTTATCTTTCTGAGGTTGATATCCCCACTGCCAAGGCTCAGAGCAGAAGCTGAGAGAGAGACAGTGAGAGACAGAGAAAGGGAAATCCCAGTCTAGAGTGAGGGAGTAAAGAAAGAAACAAGGGGGATTGAGGTCAGATAGCAGTATGGAATTCCTAACATCCAGACACAGAGTGACAAATACCCGCCACCACACCACCACCACCTTCAGCTGCCTGTCTTCTGGGGGCGGGATTGTTGTCTTATGGCTTTCCATGACGTGAGTCCTCCGCTAGGGCTAGGGCTGTGGGTAACGCGACATTTCCTGCCCAGGGGGCTGGAGTGAAAGGAGAGTTGCTGAGTGTGCACACCTTTTGAGAGCACAGACATACACCCTGCTCCTGGGCTCCTTCTTAGGCCCCCATGGAGTTCTCCCTGGCCCAGATAAGCTCCCAAGGTAAGTGTGATGTTTAAGAATGTGGATGGGACGGGACAACACCCCCACAGCCTGCTCTCTACTGGGCCAGAGCCCTACCCCAAGCCAGGGCTGGCAGGCTGATCAGCAGGGGGCCCACAACCCCTTCTCCTTCTCTGGGACTGCACGTCCCTCAGCCCTGAGAACAAAGGTGAAGAGGGTCTGCTGTGTGCTTCTTGGAGAGGAGGGAGGAGGGAGCAGGAGGGATGGGGGAAGCCACAGGAAACTGGGCCGGAAGAGGGGCTTGCACTAAAGAAATCTGCCTCCCCTCCCTGATTGTGGGACTGACTTCCAGGCCACCAGAAGGCCAGCTGACATCCAGCTCCTCTTTCTGGTGCCCAGTTTCCCCAACAAGCCCCTCTGCTCCCTCAGCCCCTCTGAACCTCCTTGGCTCCATATTCCTCTTCCCTGATAAATACCCCCGCCACACACACAGCCTCACTGTCTTACCTGCATTTCTCCTGCTATCATAACTGTCCCTGTCCTACAGGTCCCTAGTCAGAGGCATGCAGGGCGCTTCTAAGCCTGGGGGAGGGGTGGGCAGCAGAGAGAGGCAGTCCCTCACTGAGAAGCCCCACCTGTCCTCTTTGTGCTAACAGGGAGTTACAAAGCCCCCACTCCAACCTTCACCACGTTCCAGTCCTTGGACTCGACCCAAAAAAGCTGCAAGGGCCTGGGCTTGCTTCCAGAGCCCAGACTCCAGGCCCTGAAGGCTGAAGAGACCCCGTTCAGCCACAGAGCCCCGGATGTCCATGCTGCGGTGAGTGGGAACCTGGGTATGCAGCTCCTTCATCTGCTCTCAAGCCTCCCATGGGTGAAGACATACAGATGGACAAAGGCCAATGGGGAGAAAGCTGAAGTGAGCTGGGGCTGCCTACAGGGCAAGGGTACAGAGAGAGGCAAAGGGGATGGGAAGTCCCTCCTTCGTGTGCTGAACTGCTCACTCACTGCTCCTCTGCCCCTGGGAAGCTCAGGCTGAGTCCCCAGGTGACCAGGGTACAGTGTATCAGGTCCCGGAAGCAGGCATCTGCATCTTTGTCCTTGGTCTTCATTTGCCTGACACAGCCCATCTCAGTCTTTCTAGCCCACCAGCTCAGTTCCTCCTGTAGGGTGAGCTCTCCCTTACTCCAGCCTCTGGGGTGACCTGCATCATCTTTTTTCATCCTCCAGGCCAGGGTATGACTTTCTGTCATCTGGAAGGGCTCACCCTCATTTAAGCACAGTTTAACAGCTTACCGCTGCTGGTTTAAAGGCCCTCAGGATCCAGGGGGAAGTAGAAAGAAATGTCTCAGAAACCAAAACAGCTNCTGCATCATCTTTCTTCATCCTCCAGGCCAGGGTATGACTTTCTGTCATCCGGAAGGGCTCACCCCCATTTAAGCACAGTTTAACAGCTTACCGCTGCTGGTTTAAAGTCCCTCAGGATCCCGGGGGAAGTAGAAAGAAATGTCTCAGAAACCAAAACAGCCGGAGCTGAAGAAGGGATTTAAGTTAGACCTTGGGAAGGACTTTCTGGGCAATTGTACTTAAAATAAGCAACAGGCCGGGGGTGGGGGGAGCTGGGAGCTTCCTCTCCATGCCCAGCGGGGTCTGGGGATGAGGGTGAGAGGGCAGTCGCTGGCTTGGAGTCCGGGGAAGGCCCACAAATCCTGGCAACTTTCCCTCCTTAAACTCTTCCCCTGACTGGTTATCTCCGCAGCCCCTGGGGGCTGCCTCCGGTCAAGAGGACACCGGAAAGGCTGAGGAGGTGCCTAGGGAAGGAGGCCAGGCTCTGCAGGCTGAGACCCTGGCTTGGTTCCAGAAGACCCAAGCCCAGGGACTCCTGCAGCACGGGGCAGCCCCTCCGTGGTTCCACGGCTTCATCACTCGGAGGTGAGTCACCTAGGAGGAAACGAATGGGCCCAGGGAGGACCAGGGGCAAGGCCTGGGTCCTGCAGCCAGTCAAGAGTAGATTGAGGCTGCAAGTCCAGGCTATGACTCCTGGAGGTTCCCAGGCCATTCACTAAGGATCTCTCCTGGAGATCCTCGGAGAGGCTCCAGTCCAACCCTCTCTGGACCTCAGTTTCTCCTCTCTGGCTCAGTTATCCTCCTATATCTAACACCTCTAATCCTCAGGGTTTCCACCTGGGTCTCAGGCTCTCTGGGCTCACCCAGCCCCCTCCTCTTTCCTCCCTCCCCTGCAGTTCCTACCTCCTCCCCCACTTCTCAGCTTCACCTCTGTGTCTTTGTTCACCACCCCCTTCAGCTTGACCTTTGACATCTAGAAGTCAGCCACCAACCCCGTAGTTGCGGCCGCAGCAGCATCACCACCATTCCAGTTCCGCCACCCCACCCCACCCCCTGCCAGACCACACACACCGCCGGGGCCCTTCCAGGATGGGGCCAGGAGGGTGCAGGCCTGGGAGTCGCGCCGGGTGGGACCCCTCGGCCCGTCCGAGCCCAGGCCCTCCAGCGGAAGAGCAGCGCCCACATCCTCTCTCCTACCTCCACCTTTCTCTAGCCGCTTTGGTCCGCTTGGTTGGGGGTAGGGGTCCCCCATGAGAGCCCGCGAGGCAGGGGTCAAGGCTGCAAGAGTCAGGGCAGCGTCTGTCTCTTCTCCGTCACCCACAGAGAGGCCGAAAGGCTGCTGGAGACCAAGCCGCAGGGATGCTACTTGGTGCGGTTCAGCGAAAGCGCGGTGACCTTTGTGCTGACTTACAGGTGAGGGGCGGGGCCTCGGGCTACTCGGGGGCGCGGCACTGGGCGCCCTCGGGGGTGTGAGGGGCGGGGCTGCTCTCCGCTCCCTCCCCCTCCCTTCCCCCTCCCCAACCCCACTGAGAGTGGGACGCCGGGCGCGGGGCGGGTAGGGGGCACGCCTCGTGCCGGAGGCCCGGGCCTGGAGGGCTGGGAGTGTGGGGGAGCAGATCTGATCCCCACGGGCGCCCACCAGGAGCCGGACTTGCTGCCGCCACTTCCTGCTGGCCCAGCTCGAGGACGGTCGACACGTGGTGCTGGGCGAGGACAGCGCCCACGCGCGGCTGCAGGACCTGCTGCGGCACTACTCCGGGGCCCCGCTCAGCCCCTACGGGGAGACTCTCAGCCAGCCCCTCGCCCGCCAGGTACGCCGCGCCCATCCCCGCCCTGACCCTCGCCCGGGACCCAGGCCAGCGCCCCTTCTCCTGCAGGGCCCAGGCCGCAGGGCCATGGCACCAGGCACTTTCTCATCCAGACAAGACTGCCCAGCTGTGCCTCCCTTGCCCACATATCTCCGTGGGAAGCCCTTCGAGAAAGATGCATGCTGGGGAGAGGGAATTCTTGAGAGACCAGCCCAGAGAGGCACACGGGTCATTTGTGGGTTTTATTTTGTTTTGGCTTTTGGTTTCTTAATTTATTGATTTTAGAGAAAGAAGAAGGGAGAGAGAGAAATACTGATTCGTTGTTCCACCCATGCATGCATTCACTGGTTGATTCCTGGTTGTGTGATCCCACTGGTTGTGGGATCAAACCCACAACCTTGGGGCGTCCGTCGATGCTCTAATCAGCTGAGCCACCCAGTCAGGCAGGTCATTTGTTTTGCTTTTAATTAAAAGATATTTACTGAGTGCCCAGCATGTCCCAGATGCCGGCAGGCCCTGGAAATAGAGCTGTGGACAGACAGGCGGGTCCCAAACCCACAAAGCTTACTTACCAGCAGCAAAGATACGCAAATAATGGGAAACAAGTATGAGGGTGTGATGAGAGAGGAAATACAGAGCCCGGCGCCATTTCCCTCACTTGGCGGGGAGCTGTGTCAGGGAGTGCCTCCCTGAGGAAGCTCAGGCAGTTCTAAGGGACCACTCTGTGCCAGGCATTGGTCTGGGCACTGGGAAAAGAGCCATAAACAAAGCTGACCAAAACATCCCTGCCTTCATGGAGTTTACATTCTAGTGGGAGGAGACAGGCAATGAACACACAATACAGGTAGCAAACAGATAATACATAATAATATGTTTTATAATGATAAGTAAGTGCTAAGAAGAAAAACCAAGCAGTGACAGGAAGTGACAGGTTTGGGGCTATTTTACATAGAGAAATCAGGGAAGGCTACTCTGGTAAAGGGACATTTGAGCCAAGGCCTAAAGGAAGTAAGGGAGAAAGCCATGCAGATTACTAGAGGAAAAGCCCTCTTGACAGAAAGAACAGCAAGTGCAAAGGCCCTGAGGTAGGAGGATGCTTGATGTGTTTGAAGAAGAGTGAGAGCAGTGAGGAAGCTACCGTCAGTGGAAAGGCAGGAGGTGAGATCAGAGAGGTGAAGGGAGGAGGCCATGTAGACTCTTGTATGGATTTGAGATTTTAGTCTGAGTGAAATGATATGACACTCGACAGTTGTAACCTGAGGAGTGACATGACCTGGCAAGTTTGGAAGGGGAAGGGTGACCAGAAGGAGGCTACTACAATACTTCAGGTGAGATGATGGCAGCCTGGACCAGGATGGTACAGGCAGACGGACAAGGAGGTGGACTGCTGGGTCTGTTTTGAAGGTGGGGCTGGCTGAGGAGTGTGAAAAGATGAGTTCTTGCTGACAGTGCTACTGGATGGGGACTGGGCCCCGAGTGGGTTTGCCTCTGGCCCACCCATAGTATGTGGGTTCTTTACTGTGCAGGAAAGAATTCGCAGTATGAGTCCAGGTGATTTTGAGAATACATTTATTAAAGCTGGGGACAGTGAAACAAAGGAAGGGCTTAGGGTAGAAGAAGCAACAGGAGAGAGCCTAGGTGGTGCCCTGTTTTGGCTCCCTAGAAATGTTATAGGAAAGAAGTGAGCCAAGCAGGGCTGCTGTTAGCTCACTGGGAAGTAAAAGTCAGTGACAGAAGAACTCACTGGGAAGTCAGAAAAAAAACGGGGCCTTGGAGACAGGTTCAGGGGGGAAGCCTGGGACAAGCTGCTTCTGCCTGCTGCTCCCCTGGTTGCAAGTCTTGTGGGGACCCTTAGAGTTTAGGAGAAAGAGAGCAGAGATGCATGGCGTGGGTGTGCTCTAGGGAAAGTGAGGCTTGTGGCTTTTTGTCTGTATTTGGCCCGTGGGAATCCTAGGGGAGAGTATCAATAGAATATTCATTAGCTTTTCAGGTGTGTCCTTCAATATGTTGATTCATCAAAATGTGCATATAGAGAGGTCAGGGGTTATTTTTTGGTTAGTTTTACTTTTAAAGAACATTATTGAAGAAGCTGGTCTGCCCCAGGACAGTCTAGAATGTGTAAACCACTTGCTCCTAAGTGTCCTTGGTTAAGGAAAGAAAACCTTGTGATTCATTTAGCTTGCTGTGAATTGCTCAAATCGTTTGGCCTGTGTTAATGATTTTGTCTCAGTTTCCCTTACTCCACTTGTCAAAGAATTTCCCTAGCTTCTTACCATCCTGCCACAAGAGGAGGAAGCTATAGAAGGAGCAAGTCTGGGGGCAGTGGAGATCAGGAGGTCACTTTTGACATGTACAGTTTGAAATATCCATTTGATATCCACATGGAGATGTCAAGTAAGCAATTGGAATATACTGGCCTGGAGTTTGGGACAGAGGTCTGGAGTGGAGATAAGTATTTGAGGGTCATCAGCATGTTGCTGGATTGATTCTAAAGCCTTTAGGAGGGGTGAAATCTCACTCAGGAGAGTGTAGATGGAAAAGAAAGGACTACCAAGTGTTCAGCATTTAGTTTGCAGAAATGAGAGAACCTACAAAGAAAATTGAGAAGGAGCAGCCAGAGAGAGAGAGGAGAAAACCAGGAGAGTGTGATGGTCTGGAAGCCAAGCAGAAAAAGCAAGTCAAGGAAGAACAAGTGCATAGGGTCCAGAACTGACCATTGAATTTAGCCAAGAAGTCATTGGTGACCTGGGCAAGAACGGTTTCATGGAGCTTAATTGAATCAGTTCAAAGAAGTGGGGAGTATGCCTATAGGTGACTCTTTTGTGGAATTTTGTGAGGAATAGGGGGAGACCTGAAGATTCTGGAGCAATGAGGACAGGGTGTAGGGAAGTTTGGAGGCGAGGGGAGCCAGCTGGAACCAACAGAGCTGAAGGCAGAACTCTTGGAGACCAAGCCCTATGATCTGGTCTCAAAGGGTTTTGTCATTCAATATCTTTGGAGTTTGGACTTTATCAGGGAGTAATGGGCAGCCATCGAAGGATAGTTACGAGAGTTTCTGCAGGCTCACTGCCCAGAGTGGAGAACGGACTGACAGGGCAAGATAATGCAAGGGGAGAATTTAAGAGGCTTGGACTAGGGTGGTGACTGTGGGCATGCAGAGAAGTGTGCAGATGTAAATATATTTAGGCAGTGGAAGGAGTAGGGCTGTGCTGCATCAGATGTGGGTAGGGAGGAGTCAAAGTTGACCTCTAAGGTGCTATTGTGGCCACAGGGTGAAGGTGCTGCTTTTTGTTCATAAAGGGGATGCT